AGTGGTGCCAAGGTGGATCCTAATTCTACTTTTCTTGGATCTTTGGGATAAGTCGTCAAGAGAGCCTTTAACGCTGAGCAGCAGGGACTCTCTCCTCTCCTCCCTCCTCCAGGGGCTGCAGGGCTGCACGAGCCTGCACAGCCTAGAAGCTGTGTAGCGGTGCCTTCCTTGCGCTCTGCGTGACCCCACAGTTCCTCTCACGCAGGTGGATCTTCTCATGCTGGAGGAGGTGCTGCTTCTGGGTGAAGCGCTTCAGGCACTCGTTGCATTGGTATGGCCTCTCCCCAGTGTGGATCCTCTGATGCCGGATCAGATTGGAGGGGTGGCTGAAGGTCTTCCCGCAGTACGAGCACCAAAGGACCACTCCGCTCTGGCCCGAGTGCATACGCCGGTGGATGATGAGGGTTTTCTTTTGGGAGAAGCACTCCTGACACTTGTCGCACTTGTAAGGTCTCCCCCGTGGGTGGCTCCTCTGACTCGGCTTGCCGCTGCCATTCATGTTGACGCTTTTCGTGTACCTGGGATTGCCATACACCTTGTCCGTGGCTGGGACGTTGGCGTGGGCTTTGGCATTCTGCTTCTGCTTGAACCTCTCTGTGGCCACTTGGGTCACGTCCTCCACATGGGTCACGTCTTCCACGTCAGTCACATCTTCCACATCGGTCACGTCTTCCACATGGGTCTGCTGGTGCTGTCGATGGAGGAAGCCCTCGTCTCCAGCGTGCTCACTGCTGCACTGTGTGCTCTGGCTCTCCTGGTGAGTCGTCAGCATCTTCTTCAGACAGAAGCCCTTCCCACACGCGGTACACGAGTGAGGTCTCTTGTTGGGACAGTTTTGCCCATAGATGGTGACAGCATTGCTTTCGCGGAGACCCTCTTCCCCTGGAGTGGACGGCACCAGCCTACTCACGCTCTGGTTTCCCGGCTGCACAGGAGAGCTGTACTGACTATCGAAGGGCAGCGCCTCGCTGGGACCCTGGAAAAGCAGCTCCTCCGACTCCCCAGATAAAGTTGCGGGGGGCTCTGAGCTTTGGGGACAATCCTCAGAGTCCAGCTGCTCTATTTTGAACGTTACCACCTCCTCTGCTGGAACTGACAAGAACAACAAAGGGGACATTCACTGGTGTGAGACACAAGAGGCTTCTGAAATCCCCCCCACTCCTTCCCCCGCCACCCGCGAATCAAACAGGCCCGTCTTACACAGGGAGCGTGAAAGGCAGCTGCGCTCACAGAACAACAGCCAGCTGAAAGACCGAAAGAGAGAATACGGCCAAAAAGCACAGGAACGCTTCCCTTTCAGCTGGCCGAGCAGCGAGCGTGAGAAGCCATGGGGGGGCGGGGGGGTGGCAGAGAAAGCACTGCCTTCCAAGATAGCAGAGTTCAGCAGTTTCCAAAATCATCTCCAGCCGTCTTCCTTCTCCTAAGTGCTAAGATCTCACAGACCTGGGGCAGCCCTTTGCTTCCCTCATCAGCACGTCTGCCTCCCTCCCCACAGAGAGCACCAGCTCATTCCCCAAGATCCACCTTCCCTCCATGCCCAGGACGTGCTGACCCACCTGTACAGCCCTCTTCTTGAAAGGGGACACACCAACACCGGCTGGTTTTGACTCGAAACACGCTCAGGATACCTATGTCACGAGGAAGCCTCCTCAGTAGTCCTCACTGAGGCAGTACAAGCACATTTTCTCTGAGAGTTCATTGCTTTTCATCTCCAAGCTAGGTGCCTGGGATTTTCTAGTCAAGCTAAACCTGGCTCAAACTTTCTCTTGACTCTCATTCCTACCTGAACGTTTAATTTTAGTTGGCCTGGATATGAATATGACCCATTGGTGGAAAGCCAACCAAAGGTCAAGGATGGAATCTGCAACGCACCACCATTTGGAAAGGCGTCGACAGTGCAAGGGCAAATCTAAGCAGGGATCGGCCTCCTGTCTGGAGAGCGTCGCTCCCCAGCTCACTAGTGCTGTGCAGTGACTGACAGCGGAGAGCTGACAACAAGACACAAGGGGCATGAGAAAAAGCATCGAAGATCTAGTCACAGCAGAGCAAGTACCATCAGAACCCGAGGAAGCCCCACTGACACCTCTGATGTGGCACAAAGAGAATAAACAGAGACCAGGACTGAGGATGAGGAAGTGACTGGTGAGCTGGGGACGGTCTACTAATGAAGTAAATATAATTTACATTATTATTGGGAATAAGAGAGCCATCCCAGCTCACCGGTGACTTCCCTAGCCTCTAGGCAGCCATCGAGGCACTGCTCCGGAGCACAGCTCCCTCTTCTGAGGATGCAGCCACCAAGCAGAAGAAATTCCAGAAGAGCAGCAGATGTGCTCTGAAGGACCCGAGACAGGACCAAGAGGGAGTGAAGCGTTCTGGGCCGGGTGCCAAGAAGCCGAGCTCTGCATCAGCCGCGTCCTTGCCGCACGCTGGGGACGGCCTCCCTGCAGCAGGTTCCACAGCTTGCACATGGACAACAACAGAGTTTGCCCTGCTCGGTTTAAAGCAAACGCCTGCTCCTTTCACCGGGTGCTCTCTGGATGTCGGACAGTGAGAAAGAGCGAAGGTTCACTCCTTCAGCTCCTGCTGCGCACCGCTCGCCCAGGCGCAGCCCCGTGTCGTATCCCCCGCCCGCCATGCCTTCCGCAGGCCGAGGAGCCCCACTGCGTTAAGCGTCTCCCGATAGCGAAGCTCTCCACCTCGCTGCTCTGCACCGCGTCCTTGACTACTGCATTGCTTTCAAGGCTGCGTGAGCAAAACTTCGCTCAGTTCCCCAGATAATTTGGCACAACACCACGTTTGGAGAAGACCTTGAGAATTGTTCTCGACTTCATTCCTAATGATTCCTTGCATTCTGTTTGATTTATTTCAGGGATGCCTGTCTCCTCACGTGCAGTGCCTTGCCTACCTGGCACATTAATCTTCCTAATAGTAAAACTGTCCGTATGCCTTCTGCCCGCTTTCATAACCTCAGCGTGTCTCTTGCTCTTTCCCCACTGCCCTGCCCGCCTCTCCCCAGTCCCCACGTCTTGGCATACGCTGTCCCACAGCAGGAACGTCAGGGACTCCCTGCATCTCCAGCTGCACAGCGCACCGTGGCATTGCTTGGAACTCACCCACACTGAGCTCGGTAAACTCTGCGTCCTCCATGGCTTCCCGCTCCTCCGCACACGGCGCTTCCTCTTGCTTCACAACGCCTGCAAAGCTCGGCTCCGGCATGCCGTAGTCTGCTAAGGTAAAGAGGGAATGTCTTCACTGGTCATCACGGCACCGCTCAGCTCTTCCCCTGCAGTGCCCAGGGGGTTTGCTCCCAGCTACCCTGCTTTCACATACCACCTCTTTCCACCACCTCCCGACTTCTGGGAGCTTTACTCTGCCCTGCAGAGAAGCGGTTCCCCCCCTTACCCCCCAGTTTCAGGAGTGTGTCCTCCCTGCCCCTGAGTCCAAGCTTGCCCTTGCAGAACAACGCTCACCAGGTCCAGGCTCAGCCACCATTGTTCTTCCCTCCAGGCTTTCCCGCGCTCCTTCTCTGCTGTCCTGGCTGCTCGCATCGAGTCTAAACAGCAGAGCCTCTGCTAATGAGAAAGATCAAACCCGTTACACTTTTTTCTAACGCTCTGTTACTCCCCCTGAGATCTGAGAAGTTCCCTCTGTAGCAAATCAGGACCTTGTGACAACACCACGCAAACGTTACGCCCGCGAATAAAGCTGTAATTCATCTCTTGCCTGCACTTGGTTCTGCTGGAACGTCTCTCGAAGCCGCCTCATCCCCACCGCAGGGCGCTTCTCCTCTCTGAAGCTGGGACAGGAGGTTGGGTTTGGAGATTGCATAATCTGTCGAGGAACAGAGATATTAAAGGCTTCCGTGCCGCATCCAAACACCCATCG